CGTGGGCAGGGGTCATTACACTAAAATTTCAACTTTACAGACTTTGTGGTCCCCAAGATAATAATTCATCCGTCAAAAATTTTCACTGGGCCGTACTTGTTACCCGCGGGCAGGGAAAAGCTGAAAATTTTTGACGGATAAATTATTATCTTGGGGACCACAAAGTCTGTAAAGTTGAAATTTTAGTGTAATGACCCCTGCCCACGCTTAACCTTGCCTATTCAAATTTAGCTTTTCCTGAAGGGTGATGCGGCAAATTTAAATTCAGCCTCCCCGTACCCGCGGGTAACACGTACCGCCTCGTAAAAGTTTTTTGGGTAAAATCAGTATCTCCGGAACTATGGAAGGTAAAAGGATAAAATTTTGTGAGCATGTCCCCCGTCTATGTACTAGCTAGAAAATTTAAATTCAGCTTTTCCCTGCCCGCGGGTAACAAGTACGGCCCAGTGAAAATTTTTGACGGATAAATTATTATCTTGGGGACCACAAAGTCTGTAAAGTTGAAATTTTAGTGTAATGACCCCTGCCCACGCTTAACCTTGCCTATTCAAATTTAGCTTTCCCGCGCTCTCGGGTGTCACCTACGGCCTCGTAAAAATTTTGGAGGGTACACCGGGAATCACGGAAAGATATTCACCCTTCAGTGTTTCGAATTCAGCTTTCATGCGCATGTGCATGAAATTTCTAAATATTTTTCAGTGTTCCAACTATTTTTGCACAGAATAAACTACAACGCAGTGAAAATAATAGGCAATCGTTCGATGAGCTGAACTGCACAAAACGCATGACTGCACCGGCTAATCTGGTGCGCGTTGCTATTTATTTTTCAATAGATGCGCATTTATGTTCTGGCGTAACCTGAGTCAATTTTTCCCACTGGCGATTTACGGTATTTTGTTTTAGCACAGATATTCAAATTGAGGCTGCAGTACTGATCCAGAACAATCTAGTAGTGAATGAACTGCAAAACAAGACTACCGAAAAGCAGAGATAAGTTTTAGTTCCTTTGCAGCCATTATTTGTAAAAGTCAATCTTTCCGTTTTATTCGATATCTGTAAAACTTGAAGACATCCCAAAATAACACTGGCGCATGGGCGCATTAAT